CAAAGGTTAGATATTACAACATATGCTGGTTTTGGTGGGACTAAGGCAGACGGAAACAGCTGTGTGTGTGTCTGAGTGTGTGTGTGTGTGTGTGTGTGTGTGTGTGTGTGTGTGTTTATAGACTTACTGCTGCTGAATGTAGGGTAGCTGTATGCATCCCAGACCAGGACCTATAGCAGCAAAAACACTGTGAGGCACCCAGGTTGCAAAGCAAGTGGTGACACAAGCCCTCAGTGGTCTGGACAGCACATCAAACTACATCACACGCAGAACCTGTGGCATATTAAATATCATATGCTTTATTTAAAGTGTGAACTAATACTGCAAGTTACCCACACTACAATGCTCTTATGTAACACCTCCTGAGTGTGGTTTTCTGTGGGCACGCTGAGGCCTTGTCTGTACCTGCCTGGAGACTGACACTCCAGAGAGCATCCTCCCAGGAGTTGATTTAGTGGGTCTAGTAAGAACCCCCTAAAATTGATCACTGATGGTGCCCCCATCAACTGTGCTTCTCCACAGAGTCGCAAGGAGTAAGGGAAGTTGATGGAAGATTTTCTCCCATTGACCTCCCACAATGGGAATATGGAAATTCAACTGAAGGTACACTATTCTAATGTCTGGTATTATGTATATTAAGTCAACTTAGAGATTAATGAGTCTGCTACAGCCTTAACTAAGGGCCATGTGGCTTTCAGCTCATGCATTAGAACAAGACTGCTCAACTTTGGATGCCCCATGGGCCACAATGATACTCACAGCACATGCCGAGGGCTGCAACTGAAATGTGGTTGTACATACATGCAAATATATATGCAAATAGCTTCTTTCACACTGATGAGCATGAATGCAATGATTAAGCTGTGGCACTGGACACAAACATGTCCAGTGTGAGCCAGTCAGCTCCTCTCAGGCACTACCCACAAGACTAAGCAGCCAGCACTTCCCACAATGCCCCAGCACTTCTGGCACCTTCTCTCTGAGGGCTAGAAACACCCACACCCTGTACCCGTCTGTTTCAGCTAGCCTGCCCGCTTGCGTCTTTCAACGCTCACTCCACATGGGAGATGCCTCACTGTTATGGAGTGTGTATACAGTGGAGGCCATGTTCAAAGGATCCGCTTGCGTCTTTCAACGCTCACTCCACATGGGAGATGCCTCGCTGTTATGGAGTGTGTTTCCAGTGGAGGCCATGTTCAAAGGATCCCACCTGCAGGCCATGTGTCGAACCCCGTGTAATCCCAAACTGCACCATGTGCCGCAAACAAATGGGCCGCAGGCTGCATGCAGCCCATTGGCTGTGTGTTGACTAGCCCTGAAGTAGAGGTTCATGCATTAAGCTTCAGAGGTCCCAGGTTCAATTCTGTCCACTGATGACCACAGTCTGTTAGTGTTACAGAGGCACAGGGCCTTGGGGGGGGGGGCAGGTCCGTGTTTTCCCAGATAGCATTTGCCTGATATATCATCACAGTTGTCCTTCAAATTGAGTTTATTTGAGTTTAACACTGACATACTGATTTTCTGGAAAGCCTGCCCTTGTTAGGAAGAGTTTTTTGGCAAGCCAGAATTATCAGATACATTTGCTGGCAGCCTATACTTAACATATTCTAATGCTGGGGCAAACACTTGCTGGGGAAAAGACTCTGTTGCTGGGCCAAGACTAGCTGTCATATAGCATGTATGTTTTATTTGGATTTTATTGAAGCACACATAGATTCAGAAATCTTTCCATAGGAGAAGTGGTGATATCACTGGCATTGGAAAGGAATATTTTAGCCTTGTCTCAGGCTGCTAAAGAAGCAGCATTGAGTGTGCTGGGTACTGATCAAAAACCTAAGAAATGGGGAAGATATTACATCTGTTTGAGAAAAATGATACAAAAAATTCTTAAAAATGTGTGAAGTGTAAAAACTTACTATGATCAGAACATGCCATTTAGTTGCTCCATTTGTTCAAAGCAGTAGGTCATTTACTGCTACTTTAATGTGCTTATGACTTTTTTAGATTATTGCTATTGCTATCTATTTTTGCTGTTTAAACAATTAGATCTCAACACCTGTATAGTATATTTGTTTAGGGGGTCAGCTGGACCCAAGAATAGGCACTGTGTAGTGTGCTTCCGAATCTAGGGAAGTTTTGACTTCATCACAGTTTTATGGATCAGTGTTTACTATAAGACCCCAATATGGAAATAGTTGGTGATTTTTGGTCCAATGTTATAGTTAAAGCATTTGTTTAAAGTATTATTTGTTTTTAAGATCTTTTAGTGACAACCACCAGCTGAGGTGATTCAAAACCAAAGTCTTTATCATAAGTTTTATGACTTGATTAGATTTACTGACGGCTATGATGACTGCTACCATACATAAAGTGTTTGCAGGATCAGAGCCCAAGATATTGCCATGCTAAGGATAGCATTTTGTGTGTGAGAGGACAGTCCTTCCATAGCAATAATTCTTTTATCAGTGTATAGAAGTGACCCTAGAAGTAAAATGAGTGAACAAATTATTCAGTGTGAGAGTATGTCTAAACCAGTGACAGCTCCCTATGTATAAAGCAGTAACATCAAGAAGAAGGACAGTTGTTTTAATATATAGTATAAAAATTCCATCTGAACCTCTGTCACCTCCTTCAGTACATGACAGTACATTATATGATACTAATGGAAAAGAATGACAGTGAAAATATAAGAAAAACCCTTTAGGATTTCTAGATAGTTATACTTTTTTCAGCTCTTAATTTAATAAGACTTTTTCTTCTGGATATCTATTTTCAACTACTTGCTTTCTTTCCTTTCCTTTCCTTTTTTTTTAAGAGTTTCTCTTCCCTACTAAACTCCAGATCTTTCTTTATTTCCTCTCATTCTGTCCTTCTGTTCTCTTTTAAAATATTTGTCTCATAACTCTCCTGTTCCTCTTTTTTCCCTTTTCTTTTTACCTGATTTCTGGAAAATCTATTTTTGACAGCTTTTATATGTTTGACTTAAATGTTTATGGTTTGACTTTAAGAAAAAAATTAATGAAGAGTAATGATTATATTCTATTATTGTTTTTAAGATTGATTCATTTGGCTTTGTATTTTTCCATGAATTAAAGAGCATTAAACTTTGCAGGTAATGAAGTTGAAACAGAAAACATGTAAAAGGAGAAAGCTATAATCCATAAAATTCACAAAATACATATATAGAAACCATCTCCCATAAACTTTATTTTAGATATTCCTGAATGTCCATGGACCTATTTTATGGTGAATGTGCCTGTTTCTATCAAGCTTTGTCTACACAAAGGAAAGTTTTGAAAAATGTATATTCATTGCTAACTCCAGCTCAGCTGAACCTAATGAAGACAGCCCTAATGGAGCCAGTTGAAACATAATGGAACCAGTTAGATTTGCTCTGAGCATGTCTAAAAAATAGTGTACTCAAAGGCTGCGTCTAGACTGGCATGATTTTGCGGAAATACTTTTAATGGAAAAGTTTTTCCGTTAAAAGAATTTCCTCAAAAGCGCGTCTAGATTGGCACGGATACTTTTGTGCAAAAGCATCCGTGGCCAGTCTAGACGCGATTTTGTGCAAGAAAGTCCCAATCGCCATTTTAGCCATCAGGGCTTTTTTGTGCAAAACAATTCTTCCCTGTCTACACTGGCCCTCTTGAGCAAGTATTCTTGTGCAAGAGGGCTTTTTCCTGAGCGGGAATGTGAAAGTATTTGCGCAAGAAACACTGATTTTGTACATTAAAAAGTCAGTGCTCTTGCTCAAATTCAAGAGGCCAGTATAGACAGCTGGTAAGTTTTTGCACAAAAGCACTTGCTTTTGCGCAAAATCTTGCCAGTCTAGATGCACACAAATGGTATTGGGGCTAATGTTGAGGAGTGCTCTTAGCATGACTAAAGCTATAAACAGTGGGAAAAAATTCAGATAATTTCTTGTCTACCCAATATCATACTTATACCAGTTTTACACCAGTGTAACCCTATGAGGTTTAAGTGTAAGAGAGGGAAATTGCATCCTGTGATTTGCTGAGCAGCTTGTTGTATCATGCAAGCAAGGTACTAACAAACTTCAACAGGACTTTATTTACCAAAAGTGAAGCCTCTTTACAAAGCTGTTGCATCCCTCCGTAGTCCCTGCCAATCTTCTCCCCACTCCTTCCTGTTTCCTGTGTTTCCAGACTCCCCACAGCCAATGCTTCCAGTTCTAATAATTACAAGCAGCATCTAACACACCATACAGCTTCGATCCCTGACAGGAGTAGAGCTTGTTAAATAAAAAAAGGTGATAGTGCAAGGATAGAGCCCAGACACTTGAGTGTGCAGTCCTGGTTCTTCTTTACTCACAATCAGGTGAAGTACAGGGAAAGGAGTGATTAGCTTGTTGGCTGACAAGGACTGTTTCTTGTTGGGCATTGAACATCTACTTGTCAGAGATAGTGTTTCATGGGAGTCTCAAATGTTGAATCTTAAAATTGGGCACTAATTAACACTAATTAGAGTCCCCAATTTGTTTTTCCCATTATGACAACCTGCCACTACTTCCTCTTCCACAGTACTTAGCTCACCATAGAGTTGAGGTTTTCCCCCATTTTTTACCTTATTTATCTATGCCAGTCGATTGGTAGCTGAGTGCTAGAAGTTGGAATACTCAAAGGAAAACCAGAATGTCAGGGAAAAGTGAATTTTTGTAAAATCTTTAAAACAATAAATAAATAAAATACCATTTTTGGACCAGGTCTGTTTATCCCTGACACTGTCCATCCCTGGCACTTTGGCTCCCCCCCACTCCTTTCTTGCAGTAGCCTGCAGGGTCAAACCCTACATTATCTTTTAACTGATGAAAATCCAATGCTAATCCTCAGCAATTTTAATGGGGAGTTTCCATTTTAAAATATTTGGAATTTCTGGTTTAAACCCCCTGAATTGATGAGAACGACAAAGGAGAATTATTCCAAAGTGTGATGTTAAGAAGCATCCTTTCACATATATCCTAGGAAACAACAAAATACCTAATATTTCTTGGGTCCTTGCACATCTCTTCAGTAGTTATAATGATGGTTTTATAAATTCCTGTAAGATTTCAAGGGACGCCTTATTTTTCCTTCAGAGATTTGCTGAGAAAGATAGTTGTAGAGAAAATGCAGTTGAAATAGGTTTAGGGGTTCACAGAGGACAAAGACACAGAATAATGACTCTTTGTACAACACAAATAAGGTGAGATGATGCACTTCATTAAAAAGGAAAGCAGCTCTTGTGGCTGGAGCAATCAGAAGATATACAGTGTAGCTGAGGGCTTTAAATAACACGCCAATACAAGTGAAATGAGTTTTTCTTTCCTCTGAGCTGACAGTTCTATGGTTTATTTGTGCTTTTGATGTATTTTTAAAGCAAAAATCACGGTAGTAGCTGAGCACTCTGGGCTGTCTACTCTGATAGTTGTTGTGAAGTACTTGCTGATGGAGATGGGGTATAGTGAAGGTTTTCTCCCTCCCTTCCCCACACTTATTGTATCATAGACTAAGGTTCAAATGCTTTGAGTACTTATTCCTCTATGTAGTCCCACTAGATCATAGCAGTGCTTGTTGCAGTAAAAACATGCCAAATTGCCTTTTAGTGATTGTTAGTTAAACTAAACCTCTGTATTTTGTACATTTGTACTTAAGTAAATTTATTAAAATGAAAAATTATATTCATCGTAAATATAGCTTTCCAACTGTATAAATGTTGATAATTTCCAGTAACTTTTGTGATAGTCAAATTCATATGAAATGCCTAAATTATAGATGAAATGACATCTTAGAATTGCACACATAGTATTTCTCAGTGCTTGTAAGTTTGTCAAACTCCTAACAGCTGAGAACATTCTTTCTGTGAGTGTTTTATTCTCTCAAGATTACATTTCTCCTTATTTGATTATTTGTGGAAGATGTGAATAAGCATTTAGCACTATAAACATGTTAACATTATTTCACTATAATTTTGTGATAATAGATTATACATTTGGGTGGACTATTGTGAAGGACGTACAGCCGGTGGTTCCTGATTTACAAATAGTCGATTTATGACCGCTTAATGAGAGGTTTGGTCATAAATGCAGTCCCTGAGTTATGAACGCGACCCGCGCTTATGAACAGCATGGGGTCCGACTTATGAACATTTCGAGTTACGGCCAAGTGTTTGGTCTGTAACCAGTTCATAACTCAGGGACCGGCTGTATAGAGTATCTATTTTCTCCTTGTTACATAAAGGCTGAACACATTTAATTTCTTTGTACATCAGTGGAAGAAGAGAAAATGAATGAGTGAGTGTGTGTGAGAGACAGAGATGAGTAGCATTTTTTCCATTGGTGTGCATTATCTTATCCAGTCTTTCATTTTAGAGAAAAAATCTTTTATTAGACTGGACATATTGAGGTTTGTAATGAAATATGGGGCCTTTCAGCACATAGTGAATTATTTAATTACATCTTGTGACCAGGTCCTCCGTCCTCGATCTGTCCCGAGGCGCGGTCACCCGTCCTTGTAGTACAATAAGCTCGCTCCGGGAGCCAATTCTGGCTAGGTCAGTCTCTTCCTCGGAAGGGGGAAGGATGGGGAGCCCAGGCCTGCCCTCACTCACGGGCCCCAGCCCAGGGCCCTAGGGACAGAGACTGCACTCGAGTCTCTGTCCGACTGGTGGGGACCTATCCCCGTCCTTGGGGTGTCGGTACTCACGCCTTCGCGTCTCGTTCGGCGGAGACTGCCGTGAGCACGTCCGGGTCTCTTCCCCCGTCGTGGAGCCCTCGCGCTCTCCTCGTCTCCCCCCCCCTTCTCCGGTGGTCGGCAAGCTTTTAAAAGCCCCGCCGACCTCGGAGGAGTTCACGCGCCCTGCCCCCTTCCCGTCCGATGCGGCGCGTTCCTCCTTCTCCCTCTTGCTGGAGGGGCTGCGGCGCCGCTCCAGCTGAGCTGCGGCGCTGCTCATCTGAGCCGCGGCGCAAGAGCAACCGGCGCACCGGCGGTAAGCGGTCTGTTGCCCCTCTGTAAGGGCACAAAGTCCTGGGGTTTGGGTGCGGGGTCTCGACACCCCATCACACATCTCAAGGGACTTCTTTACACACTCTCTCCACTTCAACTGGGCACTGAAAGTAACTGGATGCCATTACCATCAAACAGTTTTGATGGCCTATAAGTCTCAGTCCAATTGTAGTGGACAGGTATCCACATCATACAATGTCACACCATTACTATTTATTGGGTACTTGGCGCCCCAATCATGCTTCTGTTGTACTAGGTCAGTTATCCCTAGGTGGTAGGGTATGTCCCCTTGGCGTGTGTGCAAAGGTGGCACTGTGGTACCTGGGGCACATCCATAAGGGTGAAGATTGAGAAACACTAAACCCTGCTTTGCCCTATGCCCTGCTCTGGGCCTGCCCCTCAGCTCTGCCATAGCTCTGTACCTAGCTGCAGGCCCCCACCATGGCCCACATACTACCTCCCTGCCTTGGCCCCTGGCTGCAATTCCAGACCTGTCCCCAGCTGTGGCTCCAACCTCCTCCCTTCCCCCTGTCTGTTCCTAGGTTCCCTCCCAGAGCTGCAATCCCACTCTCAGCCCTGACTCTTGGAAGGAGGGCATGGGCAGGAGTGGAGGATGCAAACAGAAAAAATTTGGAGACCACTACACTGGGCACTGTACAAACTGAAAACAAAAGGACAGTCCCCAGCCCAAACAACTTACAATTCACTACCAAAAATTATACTTATTGGAGCAGTTGTTGGCAATCCCATCAAAAGCCAAAGAGTGATTTGGCAAGACTATTCTTGTTCTGAGACATTATGGCTGGTCCCAGAACAAGGTTGCAGTTTGCTGAAGGAGTTAATACTGTGTCTAAGAAGAGAGAGGTCCAGGAGTGTCAATCTGCCACCTTTCACAAACAAACAAAACCAATTAAGGAAAAGGGAAAAAAAAGTTAAAGTTCATTTCCATTTTTTTGGACAGCTTTGAACTTTCATTTCCTTTTGCTTGGAATGAGTGGTGGCAGGGACAGTGGTGGGACGGATAAGAAGGCTGCAGCCATGATTCTTTTCCTTTTCCCCTTCAAGTTCAAGTTCTTTAATTTGTGTAAATTTGGGAGAGAGAAGATCTGGATTATTCTGATAATCAAACCTTCTGCATTATTAAGTTATGATACAATTATACAGAACTTCAAGTAGAGGTGGTAGACTAAAGGCCAAACTGCTGGTTGTAATACTATGCTGTACACACAACAGTACTGAAATCATCTTCCACATTTGTAGAGGTATGGCTTTTTGTCTTTCCTAGTCACATTTTTATTGTAAAATATTACCTGTGAAGATCTTTCATCTTCATTTCAGTTTTAAAAGTACATTACGTACTAACCAGTAGTTGAAAAATCATAGGAATGTACCTGTCACAAACCTCTTTTTTAAGGCTAAAATAAAAAATATCTTCTCAAGATGCAAAAGTCCAGAGAGCTCCTTCTCTTGATGAATTATTATAGTCTATGGAAATTCCAGTGTTCTGAGCCAAAGTTCAGTGATTTATGCTCTTCTTAAGAAGAAGGAACGTAATTTGAAAACATGATTGTTTTGCAGACAAATGTGATTGTTAAGATGTTCCTGCAGTACATTTACAGTTTAAAAATCAGTCTTGAAACTTTTGTAACCATAAAATATATCCCTAAACCTGCTAAAGTGGGTTGCTATGCAGCATTTGATATTAGAGGGGACTGAACTTTCCAGTATAGTATACTGTTTAAGTGACTATGCATGTCACAACCTCTGCAGCAAATGTAACATCATTTAACCGGTCTAGTCTTTTGGGAAAAGTCTTATGGAATTTAATAGAGATCTATATCATTACCATAGTATTCTGATAAATGTGTTCACAATTCTGCAGAAAGAATACAATTCTCAATTGCATTCTATAGATTTTTAAAGTCATTTCTGTAAGTCTTTATTCAATTTCTATAGACCCCTTTAGTACATTGCTCTGCTCCTGGACTCAGGCAACCATCTTCCTCCATAATTTCAGAGCTTCTTGCAAGGGAAGACAGCTGGAGAAAGTGGAACTAAGAACATGTACATTGTTTCCTTCCCAATCACGGGAAGCATAAGAATGGCTATATAGGGTCAGAGTAATGGTCAGTCTCTCTTGAATTCTGAGAGAGCCAGGTGCTTCTGAGGGAATGAATAGGACAAGACAATTTTAGTCCTTTATTGTCCAGTCTCCACCTCTGGCCATAAGAGATGTAAGGACACCCAGAGTACGGGGGCTGTGTCCTGACCATTTTGGCTAATAGTAATTGATGAGTTTCTTCACCATGAACCTCTCTAATTCTTTTTTTAATATAATTATACTTTTGGGCTTCACAACAATTCACAGCAGTGAGTTCGAAAGGATGACTGTGCATTATATGAATTATTTCCTTTTATTTGTTTTAAACCTGCTGCCTATTAATTTCAGGGGATGATCCTTTATTCATATATTAAGGGGAGAAGTAACACTTCCTTACTCACTTTCTCCACACAATTCATGAATTTTATACACCTCCTTCATATCACTCCCCCTCCTTAATTGCTTCTTTTCTAAGATGAAGAGTCCCAGTCTTTTTAATCTCTCTTAATATGGAAGCTATTCCATACCCCTAATCATTTTTGTTGGCTTCATCTGTACTTTTTCCAATTATAATAGATTTTTTTTTTAGATGAGGGGACCAGAATTGCATACATACACTAGTCAAGGTGTGGGTGTAACATGGATTTTATATATAGCATGTGTTTATCTATCCCTTTCCTAGTAGTTTTGAACTTTCTGTGAGTCTTTTTGACTGCTGCTTCACAGTGGGTGGCTAGTGGGAACTCCATCAAAAATATATTGCCTTTACCTTGACCCTGTTCCAGGCTATAGAATCTCTTTTTAACAGTCAAACATTGACAGTGATAGAATATTTCACAACCCTAGAACTGTACACAGTCTCAGTGTAGAAGGACTTGCTACCTACCACGCCCACCCTGCTTCAAATGAGGACTACGGGTGGTGAGCTATAAAGGGGTTCATTCCCTACTGTAACAGTTCTGAGAGCCTTCCACCCAATTTCTGCTCCTTTAAAAAGTACCTCCATTATATCTTTCATTGGTCCATTTTATCTGATCACTAAATCCCTTCCCTAAACATTACTTTCATTGGACATATGCCCCATGCTTGTGTAGTGAGTTACAACACCATAACCTACCCCCCATTTCCTGTTTGCCCCTACTAAGCCTGAATCCCCTCTCAACAAGGTAAAAATGTCCCAACCTCATATTGATCAATCTGGTAGAGAGGGAAAAAAAAGCTTCCTAGTGCCCTGAGAAAGGACTGACTAGCATAATGTCCAAAGTGGATCACAAGAAATCCTGGTATTTAACTATTCCTATGAGAGGAAGGGCGGGAGCTGTTTGGTCTGTCCAAATAAAGAGGCTTTACTGTAGTGCCATGGACCTAAATATTTCCGTCCCTCCTCCCCCAGTCTTCTGGTCACCTGAGTCAGCATTCCCCTCCTAATCTGGCCTGAACCTGCCACAGCAAGTCACTCTTTCTCTAGTCTTTAAAGAAGCCACCCAGTTTTTCCTACTAGCCAGACAGCAACTCCTACCACAGGGGTCAGCAATAAGCGGTCCATGTGCTGGACGCAGTTCACCTGGATTATTCCCTAGCAGGCCACCAGATGCTTTATTTACCTGAGCATCTGTGGGCATGGCCAATCTCAGCTCCCAGCGGCCACAGTTCTTCGTTTCCACCCAATAGGAGCTCCAGGCTGCTTCCCTCCACTCCTACTGACTGGAAACAGTAAACTGTGGTGGCCAGTGGGAGCTGTGAGTGGCCATACCTGAGGATACTCAAGTAAAAAAGAAAAGCCTCTGGTGGCCAACCAGGGTCCAGTTCTGGCAAACTGTATCCAGGCCATAGGCCTCTTATTGCCCACCCATGGCTTAGTGCTTAGAAGTGCAGTGAGAGCATTTTTATGGAACATAGTTGCACAGGAAAGGTCATTTTAAACTTTGAAGCTTTATGTTGTTTTTGCTGGATTGTGTTCTGGTTGCTTTGTTGCTTAATTTATTCTGTGATCCTTTGTCATAAATTTCAGGTTTCTGAATGATAAATTCCACTGTTCTGGAAATTCCTGTTTGTTTTGGAAGCATCAGAAGTTGCTTATTCTGCACTGTAAAAATTTTTAGAGAAGTTATTTCATCTCAAATATCACATAGCATTACTGAGCTTTAACTAAATATATTTCATTTAACATTTTATATTTTGATTTTCACTTTCTCTTCTTTCACACATGCTGACATTGATTTAGTCACATCCAATACTAACCTGTTGATTTTTCTCATATTTTTTAAACTTCATTCTTGAGATAAATGTGGGATCACTCTTACATATATATGGTAATATAGGTTCTATATACTAGAATAAGAAGATAAATTGAGAGTATATATTCCATTTAAGTAAATAAAGTGATTGTATGGGCAGTTATTTTCTCATTTATATAAGCTATTTATTATTATTCTATTTGCAGAGCTAGAAATGTCAAAGGAATATTTTACCACAGCAACAAAAAGAAAGCAAAGTATAGCTCCCTGAAAACAAATTGATAATGATAAAATAAATTAAAAATTCATTGATATTATTAGGTCTCAGTGATTCTGGGTTGTATAAATATGCTTATTTATTTAAAATATCTCTTTAGTTCCTGAGTTAAGTGAAATGAAAATATCTTGGTGTAAAAAGAAAGTGTGCTTTATTTTATTTAGTAT